CCTTTTTAGAGAGAAGGTGGAGCTAGATTTTTAGAAAGTGTAAGGAAAGAATGAAAGTGGTCTACTAGGTTAGGTTACAATACTAACACTAAGTGAAAGGTCAAGAATACCCTTACTAACATAAGGAAATGTAAGGGAACAAGGGAACTCCCTATAAAGCTTAAGGTACAACTTTGACTTTGGGGTTGACTAGTCAATTACTAGTCCCCGACTATTGAATTTTCAGGATTTTTAGGAATTAAACCATCAATTGAAATAGGGTTAATTGCTCAATTAATCCCTTAATTGAATTTGGATTTCGGGGTGTCACAAAAGTGACCCTAAGTATTATTTTCAAAGACTCATATCTATATTAGAAAGTCATTTTCTTGTTGCATTGAGAAATTGCTGAGAAGTTATGTGCATAAGTTTGCATAAGTAAAGAAGTTGAAAGAGATATATGTATTCTATCTATTGTGGGGCAAATAGTATTTTGGAGGCCCGTTAGGACTATGTCCTTTCAAAAGAAAAGAGCAAGATCGGTTAAAAATCGGCAATAGTGAAAGAAAGAAAGTAAAGCAAGAAACGGACATTGCGATCCGATATCATGTAACACGGTGTATTCCCACGTTACGAGGTTGGAAACTGCCCACCAGGCTTGGAATCCTGATCAGGGGGTTTGCACATTGATGGTTCGATACCTGATTCCATAGAGTTTGAGAAAATGACCAAGAGAGTGGTTCTACGGGCGAGATGAGTATTAGGCCGGCTAGATGCCGAGCCCAGGTAGGTCTATCCACCTTATGGTGAAGTCTTACCTCACCCATGATTAAAGAAAGAAATCGAGTCAAGAGACTCAAGAGAAAGCAATCGATTCAAGAGACTCAAGAGAAAGCAATCGAGTCAAGAGACTCAAGAAAAAGAAAGCGAGTCATTGTGACTCTAAAAAACCTCCAAAAGAAATAGTATTCTTTTACAAAAGAGTATATATGTATATCTATCTATATTTATACTAAAAGCATCATGTGTATTTGATTGCATAATGAGTATGATTGCACGAGATTGCATAATGAGTATGATTACACTAGATTTCATAATGAGTATGATTGCACGAGATTGCATAATGAGTTTGATTTCACTAGATTGAATAATGAGTATGACTGCATGAGATCGCATGATGAGTATATGATTACACTAGATTGCATAATGAGTATATGATTGATTGTATTATGAGTATGAGATTTCACTAGATTGCATATTGAGTATGACTGCACAAGATTGCATATTGAGAATTTGATAGTATGAGATTGCCTAGAGATTATATGACTGCATGAGATTACATGATGAGTATATGACTGCATGAGATTGATCTGAGATTATATGATAGCACAAGATTGCACGTTGAGTTATGTGTTAGCATGAGATTACTACTGAGTTGTTAGATAGACTTGAGAACATGGATGAGTTAAGTATGTGAAAGTTTGAGCTTGATGTTAAGCTAGATAATTGTCAAAGCATGCCTATTTGGTGATTAGGTTGCAAGTATTTAGAAACTCTGTTGAGCATGATAAATTGTTATTGAGTAATTGAGAATGTTTGATCTTAGTATGTGAAACAAATGTTTTCCAAAAGTATATACTGTAGTACTTTACAGGGTTGAGTGGAGTTATACTTAGCTTCGTGCTAACGGGTTTGTTTTCTACTTGTTGTTTGTTAACCCCTTTCATGTGGGCCCAGTTCGTGAGAGAGAGTACGAGTTAGACTAGACTGGCATTAGTTAGTTTTGTAGTCTAAACTCTTGATGCTATTACGTTTTTGAGTTTTGTAGTTGATTGCCCTACGTTTTGATGGTGCTGGACACTAGGGTCTCATCCCCTTGTTTGATGGTGTTGTAGAATTATATAGCATAGATGCTCTCTCAAATTCCAATTAGAAATGAGATCGAAAAGGCTTGGCTCAAGCCTAATCTCGTGTGCGTCGGCACCTGTAGGCACGAATGTCGTTCAGAAATTGGCAGGCAGTCAATTTAATCAACCCCTATACAAGAAAGTTCAAAGTTTTATCTTAGGACGCCTAAATAAGGTTTTAAGGAAAGAGTGATCGCTTGACTCTTACAAAAACCCAACACAAAACACTAGCCAAATTCTCCATCATTCCTTCCCTTATTTTCCAGAAAAATAATAATCTTATTTATTGGATTATTATTTGTTTCCACCAACGGAATTCCAACAACAACAAAGTAGTAGTAGTAGTGCATATATATATATATATATATATATATATATATATATATATATATATATATATATATATATATATATATATATATATATATATATATGTATGTATATATACATACATATATATATATATATATATATATATATATATATATATATATATATATGTATATATATACATATATATATATATATGTATATATACATATATATACATATATACATATATATATATATGTATATATACATATATATACATATATACATATGTATATATATATAAACATATATATACATATATACATATGTATATATATATATACATATATACATATATATATATGTATATACATATATATATATGTATATATATATATATATATATATATATATATATATATATATATATATATATATATATATATATATGTATATATATGTATGTATATATACATACATATATATATATATATATATATATATATATATATATATATATATATATATATATATATATATATATATATATATATATATATATATATAGGATTATATTGAAATAAAAACATTAGATCTTTTACGGATCGTTAGATCTATGGATGGATGATTGTGATTTATTTAGATTGTAGTGTAGGTTTTTATTAGGCTGGACGGTTTATTGCTTTATGTGTGGGTAATAAAGTCTTTTTGTTATCTTAATATTATTTCTTTCGCTTTTTCCTCACACGCGCCCGACAATTCATCTTTGTTCACGTCTTTTCCCTTCTGTTTCCACGTTGGTGTTCTCTCATCTTCTCTACCGACGCTGATTTCCTCTCGCCTCGCGTGGACTCAACTCGTCGACGTCTTTCCTCAGCATTTGCAAAGGTTTCTGGTGGGGACCGTATTGGAGGAAGGCGGCGGGGTCCATTGAGTCGTCCAGTCCGAATAGGTATTTGCTTATTCTCTCATCCTTTTTCGCGTATGATTTGTTGGGTTTTTCTATTTTGTGCGTTTCTTGTCATTTTTGGGGATTTTGTTGCATTTGCTAAGCTTTGTCGTCTTGTTTATGTGATTAATGGTGGATCGGTTCTCAACCATGGGTTTAATTTCTTCATCTAGGGTTCTTTTCCCCAATTTCTTTGTGTAATTGTTTGAATTTTATGGGTGTGTTGGGTTTGTGTGTGTTATCTATTGTACGTGTTTTATTTTTTATTTTTTCATATTCCGGTGCTGTTTTTTTTTTTCTTGTTCTTGGTTTTGTATTGTGTGTGTGTAAATTTTTTTCTAGAATATTGTCATGAATGCTAAGAGTGCTGTGACAGTTTCCCATTCCCTCCTGGGAAAAAAAAAAAAAAAAAAAAAAAAAAAAAAAAAAAAAAACCGAATGAATTCACAAGCAAATGGAGTTTCGGAGGTCGTGGGGTGGTGTGGGCATGGAGGTTTGTCTGGTGTTGGCATTATATATATAATTGGTAGTGTGTATGTGTGTGTTTTTTTGTTGGTTTGTTCTGGCATTTACTGGTTGTGCGTGTGGTAGTGGTAATATTGGCTTTTTTTGTCCTTGAATTAGTGAAGTTATAGGTGCATAGGCAGAATTGGTGTGTGCATTTATTTTGTCATTGGTGTTTGTTTGTTTATTTGTTTTTGGAAGTAACAATTTTGAATCTTGTTATGGTGTTGTTGCTTGTTCGGTATATAACTCCTAGATTTTCTTGTCTCCTATTAGTTGTGTGAAAACGTGGGGTGGGGAAGTGTTTAATGGTGTGTGCATGGAGGGAGGTCTAGTGTGTGCTTTTAACAGTTTATAACACCTCATGTTTCTCAGTATCCTGTTAGTTTGTCTTAAAACTTGGTATGGGATAGTGTTCAATGGTGTGTGCATTGGAGGAGAAGCACTGTGTGCGTTTAATATAGAATTGATAGTGTGTTTAGGTGAACTGTGTGAATTTAACATGTAAGTGGTATTGTGCTTATTTATTTTTGATTTGGTAGTGCGTTGGTGTCGTTTGGTCAGTTGTATTTGCTTGTAGTTAGCTGTAGTTTTCGTTTTATTTTGATGCAGCTAAAAAATCAAAGGTTAGCCACTCAGATGTGGGCTATTCTGGGATTTCTGACGATGATAGTGACTTTGTGTCGCCTCCTCGTGCTTTTCTTATTCGGTTGCAACAAGATTCTCTGTGGAATGCCCCGGATTATGAGCTCACTGGGGAAGAGGATGCTATGTATCCGCGTGCAAAGAAGAGGGCGCAGTCGGCCATATTGGTAAACGCGTTGAAGGGTTTGAGCACCCTACAGAAGGCCGACATTCGTGATCTTGGTTTTGGTGCTTTGTTTGACTTCAATGTTGAGGAGGTTCCACCTCGCCTTTTGCGGTGGTTGCTTTCTAATTTTGATCCCTAGTCGAGGGCGTTTAATCTTGGTGGTGGTAGGACATTAGTTGTTGATAAATGGGCTATGGAGTTGGTATTGAGGTTTCGACGGGGGCGGGTTGATATGGTTAAGCGATGTAGGATCAAGATTAGCAACACTTTGAAGAAGTGGAGGGGTTTCTTTGACAAGGGTAGGTACATGATAACCGCTGCGGAGGTTAGTGATAGGATGGTTGACGAAGTTAATGGTGGGATTTGGTTCAAGCGGCATTTTCTAGTTCTGCTGTTAACCACATTAGCCTGATGTATGTCTAATGGATATACCAATCAGATGTATTTTGACCATTTTGACAATGTGTCAGCAGTGCACGATTTGAATTCGTGCAAGCTTGTGGTAGACATGTTGGTTGAGACGCAGGTAGCGTGGCAGCAGGGTCGTCATAAGTTTTTTATTGGGCCTGCCGAGTTCATTACGGTATTCTTGCTCTATGTTGTTTTTGGATTTTGTTCTAATTTTGCCCTTTCTATTTTAATCAACTTGTGTTATTTTTGTGTGGTTTTGTTTTCAGTTGTTGTATGTGGATCGAGTTTTGCATTTTGCTCGCATTGTCCCTCGTGCAATTCCGACTTTTCGTGGGTGGACATCAAAATTACTTCGTGAGCGTGAGTTTTCTGAGATTCGCGGTACCAAGACATTACTAAAGTTGACTTGGTATGTGTGGCTTGCTCTATTTCTTTCCCCTATTTGTGCGCTATTGTAATTGTGTTGTCAGATTCGTTCTCAGCTGTGCACTGGTTCTTTTTCAGCTGTTCACACGTTTTTTCTCTACTGTGCACGTGATCCCTTTCTGTTGTGCACAAGGCCTTTGTCTGTTGTGCACACGATATTTGTATGCTATATCTTTGTATGCTATGCACACAATCTTTGTATGCTATGCACACGATCTTTGTATGCTATGCACACGATCTTTGTATGATATGCACACATTCATTTTCAGTTCTTGTGTTTTGATATTGTGTATCATAGGTGTGTACCTTTACTTACGTGTTATGTGATTTGTTTTTTGTAGTTTATGTTCCCCATTCTACAGCATGAGCATTACTTCCTTCTGTGCTTCGATTTTCGCAAATTTTGGTTTGAGATTATTGACAATTCCACACTACAATCTAACAAGAAACTCAAATATGGGGAAGTGCCTGAACAGTTGGTATGCTAACACTTGTTCTATCCTTTGTTGTGTTGGGTGTTATTGTTATCACTTTTAACAAATTTTTTTCCCCTTGTTTTTGCTCTTGATGGGTATTGTAGAAGTGCATGATGTGCCAATTTTTTGAAGTTACTTCTCCTGCTCGTTCTACGATGGTTGCTTGTGTGGAATCGAATCGCATGCTGATTGGGTGGCGTGATGGGAAGAATAAGGTTGATTGTGGTGTTTATCTAATGCGCCACATGGAGACTTATATTGGTCAGGGTGTGTCCAGATGGAGGTGTGGCCTTACCAAAGGCGACAATGCAGTGCTCCAGAAGTTGCGGTTGCAGTACATCAAGGAGATTGCTTGTTCTGAGTTCAATTTGCAGCGGTGTAGGAACATTTCTTGGGCGTATCAATTTGTGGCATCTACCCCGGTTGGCACGTAGTGGTCCTTTATATGCTTGGTTGCTTAAGCTCTTGTTTTTTGTTTTTGTGGAAAGTGTACTTTTTTTAGCGGTTAGTTGCCTACTGGTTTCCCCTAGTTAGTACACTATTTTGCCTCTTGTAGTTTTTTGTTTTTGTGTTGTGACTCGTTTTGTGTGCACACAAGTAATACCTTGTGTGCACTTTAGTTACAATGTTGGTGGCCATTATGTATTGAACGGATCTTGGGTCCGACCCCTATATTGCTAAAACTGCCTACCATTTCTTTGTATAACCTCCAAGATTTCGTTGAACCAATATTTGCCCTAGCGCAATTTGCTATGAACATTTTATGTCCAATGTCGAGCTTTCTATTTATTTTCATGAATGGTCTTGCAACGTGTGAGCATAGGCAGTGTGTGTGTTGTAGCTCTACGGCATGGACTTTGTAACCTTTGTGTTTGCCCTTGGTTATCACGATCTTGGCCTTACACCCAACTCTGTTAGACACTCGGTGTCTTTGTTTAACTGTAGTGCTGCTTCCGATGTCGGGGGACATGGGGTTATCCGTTGTGTCCTGCTTGAATCCATCGCGTGAACATATAATGTGTTTTATTGTCACTTTCCCTTCCCTATTCCTTTTCAGCGTGGTGTTCCTGACATCGAACCCGGCAATGGTTGCGTATGCATGGTAGAATTCTATTCCTTCGCTAATGTTTCAAATTGTTGATCGGCATACAGTGTGATGTCGTCTTGGCAAATAGGGTACTACCGTTTTGTTCCATTCGGTAATACGACCATGTCACACTCTTTTAGTTCTTGTTCGTTATGGTCTTCACCTATAAAACAACATGGTTATTTCGTTAACAATTTTTGTTCCATATGTCACTGCCAGTTTTTTTGTATGGAAGGCACTGTCATCATAAAAAAAAAAAATTAAATAATTCATCTATTCACTTCCAAAATTCCCCACATCAGTGGGTGGTAAGGGTGTGTGCACATCCACCGTATTTGTGTGTGCACAGGTGGATCCGCTGCGGTGCATTCAGCGTTAATATCATTTAACTTGCCTAGCCTTACCATTTTTTTGGTCTTCTGTGTCACTTTGGGACAAGCACATAGTTCGTGCACCATCACCACATTTTTAAACAAATAATTGAAATTTATTGAATCTACAAAAACACACTGATGTGTGCAGTCCACCCTCATTCCGTGTGCACACCTTGTTACATATTTCCTCCCAACCCTTCCCTGTTATGCGACTTTGCAGTCACCCTATTCATAATACTTGACTATCAGTACTACGCACTCCATGAGTCCCCAAAATACAGTTATGAACATACAAATCGCAGTAGGAGATGCGACAATATTATTAACTTACCCGTCAGCAAAATACTAAACTTAGAATAGTAGTGCTCATGTGGTTCTGTTCGCTGCGTATGATTGCAAGACCGGAGATGTTCGAACTCTGCAGTTTCGTTGGTACAATGTGTTCGTGTACTACTCTACTTAGGTATCCTAATCTCCTTAATTGTAGCTTAATATCTTCATTATTTTTTTTTTACTTAATTACGTTATTTAAACTAGTACATTATTGCCCTTGTATTGACTAAATCAAAATCTTGAAGTACTTAATCCCATTACATCTTATCCATCCATCTCAACGCATCCTGGGGATCTAATTAGACCTAAAGTTTTTATTTTAAGGGGATTTACATGTGAATGCAACCCTATATATATATATATATATATATATATATATATATATATATATATATATATATATATTAGGTATGGAAAACTAGGAAACCAGTTACTCCATCCTTTCCTAGTTGCCCATGTCGTCTAAATTCTTGGATAATAAAAGCAACATGAGAAATTAGGAAAGGAGGGAGATATGGAGTCCCTCAAAAATATAAAAAAAAAAAATTAAATAGAAAAAAAAAAACTAAAACGTCCGATTAGAACCGACCGGAACTGTCGATTTTAAAACCGGACGGGATCCGTCCAACGAAGGTTTCGGTTCCGGCTATCTTGGAACCGTGAACCGGCGATTCCGAATCAGAACCAAACCGTGGACACCTCTAGCTCCAGGGCGGACCAAGTTTGGGTTAGTCTCCCCCCCTACTTGCCTCTCTATGTCGATCCCGGCTGGAGCCACCCTTTCCTCGCCTGTTCGACGAACAGGGTGAGTTGACGTCCCCTTCGACTTGAGTCCCTAGGTCTTGGGGCGGTCGGGTGTTTGGCCCCCCGGTGCTCCCTCGAGGTGGGTGGTGGTGCTGGTGCTGGTGCCCCTCAAGAGGCCCCGGGGCCGAGCGGGGGGGCTTGAACGTCTCCTTGGAGCCCTTCCACGCGACTGCTACTTGTTGGATGACGCCCACCCCGTCCTGAAAGCCCGGGGCTGGATGGGGGCGGTAGGAGGTAACCCACCATTGCAGTTGTTGTTGAGACGGTCTTGTTGGTCCCCCGCCGACCTCACGGAAAGTGTTTGTTACCGGCTAGCGGTCCCATTGTGGCCATTCTTGCTAGAGGTAACACGAGTGTCACTACAAGAAAAATTACGAATCGCGACGGACAATATTCCGTCGCAATTTAGCGATCGAAATTGCGACCGAAAACATTCCGTTGCTAAATGGCGATGAAAAAGGCGACGGAATCAAATTCCGTCGCGAATCTTGGTGCAAAGTTAAATAAAGCCCGCGAAATATTGGCGGCAAAACATTTACGACCGAATTTGTGACGGAACTAATTTACGTCGTTCATTTCGCGACGGAAAAGGCGATCGATTTTTGTTCCGTCGTGAAATGACGACGGAAATGGCGACTGACTCAATTCCGTCGCTAAATGAATTAAGTTTTTGTGTATTGACTAAATATTGTGACAGAAAAGGCAACCAATATTTATTCCGTCGCAATATTTTTGTTAAATTTTAATTTTTTTCTTTTACCTTAAACGGGACGTTTTGAATACCAAATTAAAATTAAAATGAATTAAAACTGTAGTGAATATTTGATTGCTTCTTTGTTGCTTTTTCTATTGCATAATCATTACTTTGAAAATCATGATAATATATGTGTAAATATATAGGCATCTAAAAGTGAGTAATATGGATAGAAGTTGGATGTATCAAAGCCGAACTCAACGTGGTGATCTTATAGTTCGATCATACTAATTAGGACTTATATTTAGTATTGCAGACCACCTGCAAATAGTATAAGTCCTACAAATTTATAGTATACTAAATAGTATAAATTGAACTAAAATAAATTTAGTATTGCAGTTGGTTTGCAAATAGTACAAGTCCTAATTAGTAGGATTGAACTACTAATTAGGACTACAGAATGTATGTAAAGAGCAAGTGTGTGTAAAGAGCAATTGTATTTTAATTGTATTTTTCTTGTAGTGACCGCCACGTCCTCTCACCGCTAGCATCGCCTAGCACCGCCAGTTCCGCCGCGACCTCACACCGCAACCTCATTGAGTATGCTCTATGTCAAGTTTTCGTCACAACTAAATTAAGTTTATTTGTGTAGGTAAATTGAGAGCAATGGCGCCGAAAATACGGATTTCGAGCTCCTCTGCTGCTTCAAAACCGAGTGAAGTTCCTTGTGTTGGATCATCACGGGCTGGGAAAGCCACTGCCAAGGAGAGTTCTTCGAGTCTGAGAAAGAGGTTTGAACTTTGTTTATTCTTATCCCTCTTTTACACTGATTCGTTTAAGATATGTTATGCATGCCTCAGTATTTTGTCTGTGTGGTTTGGCCAAGTTTTGTTATGTTCTTTTAGTGTTTTGTTATGCTATGCTTCTTTTAAATGTAGACGAGTGTTATTGAGAGTGGTGAAAGTGATTTTGAAGTTAATGTGGATGATATTGAAAGTGTAGAGAAACTGACTGTTCAATAACTCAGATTAAAGCTTAGGTAAATGGTATTTTAGGAATACTGTGATTTCAACCGGAAGTTCCTATGTTTATGTGTTTACTTATTTATATTTATTAATTAAGTGTCACCTAAATTGCTTCTGTAACCCTAACACTTGTATGGATAGTAGAGCTAAATTGAAGAAAATAGATTCTAAAGAATTTTCCTATCAAAATGCAGATGCTTTGATAAATGATAATACTCACATGACCTCTGTCACTCTTTTGTGTATGCTGAGCTCATCTCCTATATTCTTGGTATTTCCACACTCCTAAAGCACAACACATTATTTGATATTCATTTGTAGTTTTGATCTTGGAATGTTGACTTCATTCAAGAACTTTTGGCAAATGACACAGGTCCGTATTGCTTACTTGAATTACTCTGATCCCTTGGCTTGTATTTTTAACTATTTCATTTTCAAGAACTCTTTGGCAAATGACACAGGTCGCTGGCTGTTGGACTTGGATGTGAGGTAACATTGGTCTATGCTATGACTTCTCATATGGATATGACATTGCCTCCTCCTGATAATATTTCTGCATTGTTGTAAGTTCTTTCAACTTTAATACCTGGCCATTTCATTTTGACAAAATTCAATATGTAACTAACGTTGGTGAATTTACTTATCTTCCTAGTCAACTGGAGAATGAATGTTCTGGAGTGTTTCAAGATCACCCAATGCATGACAAATTGGTTCTCTTTACAGTAGAGCATGCAATTTTCCTTTTGTCTTTTCTCGGGTAATTAATTAATTATGATTAGTGTCAATATTCTCTAATTAGTAAATCTGTAGATAGTTCGGCGAGTTGTGGGCTTAAATGGAATCCTGCAAGTTGAGCGAGGAAACAAAGATGGAAAGCATGGCTACTCGGTAATTGAAGTTTTTTAGAAACACAAATGCTCACACACCTTACACTTGCAAACTTTGTTTCCTTTAATTTGAGCATGCAATTTTGGCTCACAACTCCGTACAATAAATTTCATTCAGTTACATGGGGATGCATTTTTATTTCAGTTACAATGCCAGGTGATTGCCATTACTGTTGAAGAGTAGGAGAATATTGCAAAATTCAAAGTACCAGCGTTCAACATCATATGTTACACCTGCTCCAAAGGCCCCCCCTCCACCACCCCAACCAAAAGAAGAGGTTGCTAAGGAATCTCTTCCAAAAGCTTCTAAACCTAGCGCACCTCCAGCAGATCGCATTTTTTCTAGTCCTCTTGCTCGAGAACTGGTTAAAGATCACAATATATATTTTTGTGGCTATTACAATATTGTTTAGACTTGAATTGACTATATATTATTATGTAGTAAATGTGGATTGAATTATTACTTGAACTTAATATGAAATTATGTTATATTTTATTTTAGAATTATTAGTTTTTTTTATATTAATATTTTACAAACATTCATTACTATTTTAAAATCATAATTTTATTTTAAAATAATTCAAAAAAGGGGATGGAATCGCGATTGAATATAAGATTCGCGACTTAATATATGGTGCAAAAAATGCGACGGAATCGCGACGGAAAATAATTCCGTTGTTTTGTTTGCGACGGAAAAGGTAATATGGCGATGGAATATTTGGTTCAAAAATAGCGACTGAATTAGCGTCGAAAACATTTCCGTTGCGAAAATTGCGACTGAATTGCGACGGAAAAATTCTGTTGCAAAATGGCAACGGAATTATTCCGTCGCCTATTTTTGCGACAGAATTATTCCGTTGTCTGACAAGGCGATAGACGACGGAATAAATTACGTCGCCATTCTGTCGCAAAACGCGATTTGCGACGGAATTTTTCCGTCGCGATTCGCGATTTTTCTTGTAGTGTGTTATGGGAACTGCTTGAATTACGAGAATTGGATCTCATTCTTGTCATAGCTAGTGAAAATAGCACACTCGAGCTAGTATGTTGAGCTCTCAATGAAAGCACCAATGATTAATTTAATTATCTCGGGTGGTCCGAATTAATAAACCCAATAACTTAAGGAAACAGTAAATGGATAGGGCAATAGGCAAAATAACAAGATGGATGAATGTCGTGAGGACAATATCATATTGATAATGAATTAGTAAGCTAATTACAACAAGTGTAACGCTATTACAGATTTACAGGTAGTATATTAGGACAAAGGTTATGGATATGATAAGATATGTCCTAAAGGGAAAAAACGAGGGCCCTTTATACCCCGGGAGACCCGTAATTGCCCCCCTAACGAGGAGGGGATGGTTATAACCACCTCTGACTGCGCCCGACGGGTAAGTCGGCCGAGGGGGTCGACCGCCGAGACGACTTGGGTTACGCGCGGGGCTTGATCCCGAGGCTCCGGGTCGGTTTGGTCTTTTCCAATATGCATGTCCATCAAATAGAAATTTTTTTTTACAAATCCCCTCTTATCCGTCAAAAACCCCACCCCTAATTTTTAGTTCTGAAAAAAACCATCAAAAACTACTAGTGGGGATGCTCGAAATCACATAAAACTTAATCAAAATTACAATATAGTAATCTAAGTCGCTAATAAGAAAATATGAAAAATTAGGGATTTAGAAAATTGAGGATTCTGTAATTAGTATATATACTTGGTAATTTTGTAAGTATGAAAATACATATATATAATTGTGTGTGTGTGTCTATATATATATCAAACTATTTTCGATTTAAAAATTGAACAGAACCGAAAACGTTCGAGTTGTCAAAAACATAACCATTCGGTTTATACTAAAAACCAAAACTAAAACCGAACCGAATGCCCACCCCTAAACAATCAACTCAATTAAGAAAATTCAATTCATGTGGATATGGTAAATTAAAACCAATAATTATTATTTTTTTAGAGTAAGGGTCAAATAGACTCTTCAACTATATACCAAAGTGCAATCAGACACTTGAACTAAAAAAAAAAACTTTCAATTAGACCCTTAAACTTGTTAAATTTGTGCAATTAACCTATTTGACACATAATAGCATGTTACTCATAAGTCACCTGCCACGTAGGATGCAACATAAAATGTCACTTAGATTAACATTTTTAAAAAATTATGTTTTTATAAAAATGAAAATAATAATATTTATTTATATAAAAATTTTAAATAAAAAAAAAAAAAAAAACGATGGTAGCCAAGCTGCTTGGCAGTTATCCATGGCAGCTAGCTGTCATGGCTTCTTTGTCCATGGCAGCTTAGCTGCCATGAACGAAGAAGCTTGACGGAGAAGTCTGGGCTTATCCATCAAACCGCGTTGGAAAGTGGTTTTTTTTTTTTAAATTAGTTTTAAAAAATTCGTTAAAAATAATTTTTTTTTAAATTTTTAAGTAGGATTTCACATAAGATTCCATGTAGGTAGAGTTGACCGGTTACATTTTGGTAACTTGTTAAATAGGTTAATTGCACAAATTTAACAAGTTTAAGGGTTTAATCAAAAATTTTTTAGTTCGCGGTTCTAATTGAACTTTGATATATAGTTGAAAGTTTATTTGACCCTTATCCCTATTATTTTTAATTTTAATTTGAGCAATGGTATACTCTTCCATTGTTATAAATATCGCGTTGGCTGGCCGCCTAGCGTATCACCATAATTGGTGATCTAGGCGGTCGGCCGATTAGCTATTGTTTCCTTTTATTAATTTTTAATGGATTATTTCACTCAAAACGACGCCATTTTGTGCAAAATATCGTTCAAACTTTAGACATCTAAGCGCTCGCCGGACATCCGAGGAGCACCTAGTGATTTTTCAACAATACTCTCTTCACAGTTTCACCTCATTACGTGCCAATATTTAATTTGATTGGTTCTTTTTATATTTGAATATAAGTAGATATATTTTTTAACGTTGAATGGATTATGCAATTCATGGTAGTTAATGAATTTAAAAATGTGTTGTCACATAAGAAGATGATTAGTAGGATGTATAATTAAACAATAAAAGAAAATTAATATTTTTTTTATTTATAAATTATTTTGTTGATGC